TTTTGTTTTTTTTTTTTTTTTTTGTTTTTTGTTTTTTTTTTTTTTTTTTGTTTTTTGTTTTTTTTTTTTTTTTTTGTTTTTTGTTTTTTTTTTTTTTAAAGAATGTGGTAGGCATCAAGTAGATAACCCCAAGGAATAAGAATATATTAGACTAATTAGTCAGCAAACATAAGGTGGGGGAATTGCTCTGAATATCTGGATTACCCTTGTGAGTCAGAGTTGTTGCTGTGTTCTGATAGAGTGAACTCTTTTGGGGAGACGCTTTCCTTTCACAGGGGCAGGGGAACACTGCTAATTTTAAGGCAAGAATTGAGAGTTGGAAAATAGTAATAAACCTGAGGACTGTAGTCAATATCAATGACCTGATGCTGTGTTAGTAATTAAGTGAATGATCTGAAATGTTCCAGAATGTAAGACTATTATCTGAAGACTCTCACAAAAGGCTGTCTTGGGTTTGAGGAAGAAACTTTTCTGTGGATTCTGTTCCAGAAATGAAAAATTTTACCATTAGCAAAGTTCAGTTCTGGAGGCTTGCAGAGTAACTTAACTGCTGAGTATTTATTTGAATAAGAACTGATAAGTATTTCATCCTGTGCCCTTCAAATCAGACTCTGTCCCTTTTGGCTTGCTCCTTAACAAGCTAATCACCATTCCCTTTTTTATTGTAATTGGTGTGTTTGATGTTTGAGAACTCTGCTTCTATGAGACTTCTTTTGTTTTTGCTGTTATGCTTTGCCTTTCTGCAAGTCTTGCTCCAGTGTTGCCAGTTTAAAGGACCTCCTTAAATTAATGTGGTGAAGCTCAGTTCTTATAAAGTAATCATCTCTTAGCTTTATTAATCCCTTCTTAGTATGAGTTCCAGGGGCAGCTAAAGGCTTAGATGAGAGCAGTGCTCTGCTGTGTCATGCCCGACACGTAAGTCTATTGAGCCTGCACTACTTACTCTGTTTACAGTCTAAATAGGTAAAACCAAAACTGAGAAGGAAAACAGATACCCTGTCATTTAGGGACTTGACCGAGGTCACAGAGCAGAGCTGTTTGCAGAGTGCCCTGATTCCCTAGTGACTACCGTCCTAGTCAAACACATGGACGCTATGGAGCTGCCTGCCGTGTTGCTGCTGGAGGACGTTGATGGTGACTAGGCATATGTGAACACTTTTCTGATTATCCTCTAGTTATATATTAACTTCCTCAAATTACATGGAGAAGATGATGCACGATTATTTGCCAGTAGGTTTAAAGGCATATCTGTGTATCTGGGAAGTAGAGCGGCACAGTCGTGACAGCACTGAGAAATGAGATGCAAAGAACTTGCAGAAGAGGCACCAGGGTATATTGGTTTTGCTCACAAACATTCTAAACTACCTGGCTGGTAAGATTTACTTGCCTCACTCAATATCCTGAAAGAGTTCTCTGGTTTAATACAGGTATTCTGTTTTTGTAGATGATGGGAAGGAAGCCTGTTGGCCTTGGAGGTGAAGTGCTGCATTTGTGGGAGGGAAAAAAGTCATCAAGGCAACGGTACTTTTTCCCACACCTCTGGTGGGAAGGTAGGGGTCCTGCTGCCCCTGTACCATGCAGGAAATAGTAGTCTAGGACAGAGTTATACTGTGGTGACACCCTCCTGTTTGCACGGAAACTAAACTGCAGCAACAGACAACCTTTCCCTTCCCCTAGACAGCTTTTCTCAATTCTGGCTTACACTTTCCAAGTCAACTTTTAAGAGGCAACTACACTAGGAGGAGCTCTTCCTCCATTTCACCTCTTCTCTCCCTGCTCAGCTAGCTATTCACTAAAGCTCCGAGTTGCCTCTGTACGAGCTGCTTACTTCCCGTCCAGCTTCTTAAATCCTCTGAACTTCTCTGTGCACGTAAGCCCCCTTCAGTGTTTGAGTGAAACACTAATTCCACCGACCATTTTTGCATTTCATGACAGTCGGCTTCTTGCTGTTTCTCCCATTTACTAGTTTGGAAAAGTGGCTGAAGCGTTCTGTATTTTGCAGCTTTGCTGTAGCATTTATTTTGCACTAGACAAACCCCAGCCATGCAGTTCCCAATGCAAAGGCCTTCAGTAAACATCCCACGTGACACTGATCTGTTTTTTCCTGCACTTAGGCTAACTTCTAGAGCTGTAAAAATTATGCAGACAACATATAGAAAATACTAAGTTCAGTACTTTCTAGTATAAGCTAGAGTGAGTTAGAAAATGCACCCTACAGACATCAGTAAAGTCGTGTCAGTTATGTTCCATGACTGATTCTCCCTGTTACATCCACATTACGGGGTAATAGGTTCTTCAGTCAGAAGGCACTTCTCCCAGCGCTTGGCAGCCAACCAGCCGTTTGTAAGCCCCCCAATTTGAAGACAAGAATCAGCATTCCAATACTGACAAACGAATGCATGCATAGCACTCTTCATGCTGAAGGCTTTTTATAGATGCTTCGTGCCCAGAGGACGGTAGGAATTTCTAGGGAAAAGCACACAAGCCCCGAGGATGCCCGCCTGGGGCACACATCCTTACTCCCCCTCCACAGCCTGGCATGGCGGCTCCCACCTCCGGGGAGGCGCTCACCTTCACGAGAGGGGGTGAGCACTGAACACCCCCTCGGCTCCTCCTTTCCCCCAAAACTGGAGCGGCTACAAGAAGGGCACCACACCGGCGGCGGAGGCGGCCGCAGGACCCTCACTGGGCCGCGGCCCCGCGGCCAAGCACAGCCCGCTTCTGCCCCCACTGCCATCGCCATCGCAGACAGGAGGGCGGCGCGCATGCGCGCTGCTGCCTCGCTGCCCACCCCCGGGAAACCACCGTTCCCGGCATGCCCTGCGCGCCACCGGCCTTCATGGGTGCGGGGGATTGGTGGGAGCGGAGCCCATCGC